GAACAGAGGTTCGTGTGGATGAGACTAGATGAGGTCATCATACAATTTTTAGAGCATCTGACATATACTCTACTGATACCTGCCATCTGCAGTCAGTGGGTTGGGCACAAAGGGGAACTCAGAGATGTTGTGAGGACATTCAAGTGTCCCCATGGAGAGGTCCATGTCCAGGAACTGAGACCACCTACCAGCAACCAGCACTAACTTGCCAAGCATGTGAGTAAACCAACTCAGAAGTGGATCTTCCAGGCACAGTTAAGCCTCAGATGACTGTAGCCCCAGCTGACATCTTAACTTCAACCTTATAAACGACCCTGAGCCAGAACCAGCCAGCCAAGCTAGTGACAAATTCCTAACCCAGGGAAACTGTGTAAGATGATGTTTGTTGTTTTAGGTTGCTAAGTTTTGGGGTAATTTTTTACACAGCAATAGATAACTAATACACTATAGCCCAAAGTATAAATTCTAAGATTCTTAGTTTGGTAGTCATGACCTTTTGTGACCCAGTCCCTGTGTTTTTGTATAGTCTTGTTTCTCAACACATTAATTGTCTGTTTCAGAAAAACCAGATGTCTTTGAATGCCCAACAGACAGGAAGCTGCATCTAGTATTCTGGGCCTCCATTCATGCCAATTCCTTTGCTCATGTCTTCTCCTGTACCCATTCTCAGCCCAAACTGCCTCGCTCTCACCCTCTTCCAGGAAGCCTTCCGTGGTGGGTGTCTCTCAGTGCCCCTAGGATACCTACACTCTCTCGTAGAGTGGTGTTCCATGAGCTCCTCCAGACAGGAATGCTTGCTGATTCATGACTGAGTTCCAGGAGGCCAGCACAGGCAGCTGAAGCAGGGCCGGGCAGTGTGCCCACTCACTTACCTCCAGGTCCAACCAAAGATGGACATCTTCACTCTGGGGACCTTATGTGGGTTCCCTCTCTCCTCAGTCCCCCACCTCCTGGGGCCCATACCACCTACCTATAAGTTCAGAAGTTCCACAGAGAGGTCTCTTTGCAGGCTGGGTGCCCAGCAGGAAAGAAGTCACAGGGGTTCAAGAAAGAACTCATAGACAGGTGCAAGCCCAGCGATCCCTAAAGCCCAAGATCTCATCTTTCCCATAAGTCATCTTCCCTGTTCATTGGGCCTCTGGCCATGTAAGTCTCTTCCTAGAAGAGCCATGTGCCACCTTCAGCTGGATGCCACATCCTAAGGACAGGCTCCTCAGAGTACACATGAAGTAGGGAGTTGGGCTCTTCCTCCTTGTCCCAACACCATCTTCATCACTTGCCCATTCCCATCTACCATATCTTCCCTCCCAGACACTAATCACTCACCTCTCCTCTTTCTTCTAACTCATGGATGTGTCCTTTACCCATCCTGATAAAGCAAATCCTAGACAGAACTTTACAAAACATCACACACTCAAATAAAACTGGTTCTTTATTGATCATGTTTACATGTAAGTCAGCCAACTCCTGAACATGGAGACAGCCTGTGAAGAGGTCAGTACAGCGAGGCAGGGAGAGCCACGTGGAGGCTCCAGTTTCCAGTTCTCCACACCACTTCACATTGGGAGTTTCTAATTCCTGGGGGAGGAGACTGGACAGAACTCCATCAGTATCTCATTTATTACAGCAGAACAAGTCCAAATGACATTTGGAGGAACAGAAGGCCTAGGAGGACCTGCAGGGACAGTTACTGGTCCCACACTTGGCTTTGCAAGTGTACTGTCTGCATCCCTGCCTGCCAGCAGGAGACAGGACACCTGCAAGTTCACTCAGGGACCGTTTCTCAGGTAAGACCTCTTCAATAGAAACTGAAGCCTCTGAGCACACCGTGAACTGATTCCTGGTAAAAACTGGCGAATTGTTCCCAGTCTGTAGCGTAACCAATAAAACTGCCCATCTTTGATGGAAAGGATCGCACACAAGATTTTTCGACCTCAGCCTTTCCCCTGTCTAAATTCGAGATGGGAATTCTGACAGTGTCACCAATGCCAGCACCTGGGAATGCTTTGAGTCCAATTTCATCTTTTTACATGGAGGCAGTGAAGCTTCTCTGACTGGCAACCTGAGGGAAGAAGCAAGGCTCTCCTCTATGGCCAAATCATCATCTTTGCAGCCTGAGTTTCTCTGTCCACAGGACAGGTACACATTTGTGGTGCAGGAGTCACACGTATGGGCTTCCTGACAGCCTGTGCAGCACACACTACATAGCTCCATTCTGGTTCCTGGCACCTCCTGCAACAAGTTGGCAGTGCCATTGCTCTCATTCTCAGACTCATTCATCCTCACACTCTGCAGCAGCTCCTTCAGGTCCTCTTCCATCTCCAGTTGGCTGACTACCTCGTTGGGCAGTGAGGGCATTGACAGGCCCACTTTGATGCTGTGGCCAAACACTGCCTCATATGGTGAGCACTGGATGCCCTCATGATACGCTGTTCTTCATCACTTGGACTAAGTGTGGCCTCTGGGTCCATGCACTGGTCCCTTCAGCCTGCATCCATGTCACCAGGATGTTCTGAATGTCCTGATGGGCCTGCTCCACACTGCCTGGGCTCTGGCTCAGACAGCGCTTGCCAGTCATGATCGTTAAGCAGGTCCACATGCCTTTCAGGGCACTGACTACAGCATTTGCAAAGTCTCTCCCATTCCCAGATTGGAGACTGAAACGGGCCACAAATATACAAAAGATGTCCAGCTAACATTTGACAACATCCCTGGCACTTCTGCTGGTCAGAGGCCTCAACTGGACAAATTTGGTTGTGTGGTCCTGGCAGATCATGATGAACTTGAACTGTCCACTGGCTGGAGACTGCATGTCAAAAATGTCCACCTGACATTGGCTCCTGATCTCTGCAAATACCATGGGATTCACCACAACACCTTTCTTCACGGGGTTTAACTTCTACTGACAGGGCTTGCAGAGCTTCAGATACAAGACTATGGCTTCCTGCATCACACTCTTGTACCTTTTCTTCAGCTGTGCCAGCATCCTGTGCTTCCCTCCATGCCCGATACTGATGTGGGCTTCATGCAGCACATCATACATCTTCTCATTTTTGATGTAGTAACAAAAGCTGGTGTTGCCTTCTGACAAGGAGACAAACAACATTTCCTCATTCCCAATGCAAACACTGTCAAAACACTTCAGTCAACGGAGCAAGAGGGAAGACTTCCTCTTTTCTAGGTTGGCGTTTTTTTACTTGCTCAACTATCTCACTGTACTGCTGCTTGTAAAATACATGGAATTGTCTGCTTTTTAGACACCAAAAGGTTAAAACAGTGATAAAACTGCCACTTGGTATCATACCTGAAGTCTTCCCCTGACGTGGTTGGGAGCCAGGATGATGACGGGAAACCGTCATGGCGGGAAGCTGTAACACATATGCGGGGAAGGTTTCAGTTTACTGAACAGACCTAGCCAGGCCTTCCTGCCAGGACAGCCAGGTGCACACTGACCAGCTGCCTTTGACTCATAGGTGGAGATGTACCACTGACACACCACGATTAAGAGTCAACATGACTCTTCCCCTTCATCTGATTAACATGCCCAAAGGTGGTATTTGAAGTTGATCTCTCATCTGACCCTGATTCTACACTGAATGGTGCAGACAACTAACACAAGGCACTGACTAGCAACCCTGAGATCCAGAGATATACACATGATGGGCCTTCCTAGAAGAACCCTGAACTGTAGGTCCCCAAGATGGCCCAAGCGTTGAGGCAGAGGAGGCAGAAGGGCTACCTGCTCAGGCATAAGAGGCCAGGCCAGCAAGGAGTGCTTTCTCACGTGTGATCTGAGGTTAGGTCTGGGCGGACCTCAGCCAGGTGTGCTCAGGTGTGTATGGAGAGCAGATGAGAGGCATGCTCCCAAGCAAAACCTTCAGGCCAAGGTTATCCCCCAGGCAATCCCCTGCCCTAATCCCCAAGTAGCTGGTTTGGAAACCTCCCTGCTCCTGAAAAAGAAAAGCAGGCTCAGGTAAACGCTGGAGACAGGGGCCACTCACCTGAAAACCTGCATGGCATGCAATGAGGCCGGTATATGCCCCATAACCTGTGTCCTTACCCAAATGGGCCACTTCCCTATGGCTTTCCCATGTACTATCCCCGAAGGCCTCCTCCTGAAGGGCATCTGTAGGCCCCCCAGTACTCCCTCATGGGATCCTTGTCTCCAAATGCTTGGGATGAGCCAGTGACCACGGGAAGAAAATATTCAAAGGGGTGTGGTGGAGTCAAAAGGAGACCTTGGGGAGAGGGAATGCAGGGCAGAGAGAGCAGGGAGAAGAGAAGAGACAAGAGGAGAGCGGAAGAATTAGCACTCAGGGTCTGGCCAGGGATGCTTGCAATTGAGCCATGAGGATGTCCCATGCTGAGAGGCTTGGTGGGCAGAGGCTGGAGTGTGGCGCTGCAAAGGCTCAGGCACCACAGGCCAAAGTCCTTCCTCCCTCTTCCCAGCCAGCCAGGATACAGCACCATTTTGGGCACAGGGAAGGAGGTGAGATGTGTCCAGGGCACTGGAGGAATGGGGCTGGGAGGTGTGCCCAGGCAGTACTATCTCCCTCATCCTCTCCGAGGCTCTTTAGGGGCTCTGATGGGTTCAGCCTTCACTGTCTGCAGGCCTGAGGCCCAGGAGACCGGTGAGGGGACCAGAAAACACATAGGACCCCTCCACTGACAGGATTTGCATCCAGTGTACACGGTAGGTGTACAATATAGGTGCCAGGAGTAACAAAAGGGGATGTGCATCGTGGTTCCACTACAAAACTTCTCCAAGGGGCCCCAGCATATAATAAAATCACACATGAGAGTTCAGGCTTTCTAGAACCATGTATTTGAGAGGGAAGTTCATTTGAGATAATAATTTAGTGCTGATAAAAACATTTAGAAAATTAAATACCACAAAATGGGAACATTCAGAATCAGTGTAACTTCCATGTGATAAAGGCAAGAGGATCCTCGCCAGGTCCTGTGACCTCAGAACTCCCAGCCCCCCCTCCCCCACACCGCTACTTGGAGCCTCTCTTCTTCTCCTTGAAGAGTTCCCGATAGCAGCTGATCATGTTGTTGACACCCCGACACACTTTGAGGCTGCGCTCCAGGTTGGGGTCATTGTCGCTGACAATCTGCAGGCCGGCGTCAAAGTGAGCTAGGGCCTTGGCCAGGTGCCGAGCTGTGAGCTGGCGGGGGGCGGGCGGACTGTCCTCGCCCTCCTCCCCGGCCGCACGCTCCTGCTCCAGTCCCATCAGCTCCTCGTTGGACAGGTCCGCGCTGCGGCACTGCAGTAGTTCCACAATGTCGGCCTCCGCCACCTCCAGGAAGCCCGCGCTCTTCGCCAGTGCCACGATGTCCCGCCGTATGTGCAGGAGGGTATCAGCATGCGGGGTGCCTTTGTTACCCTGGACGCACTCAGGCCATAGTTTCCTCCACCCTCCGTTCAGCATCGCCGGCGGGAGTTCCTCCCAGGACTCGGAGATGTTGTATACGGCATCCAGGATGGTGTAGTCCCGCCAGAAGTCCCGGATGGCAGATCGCTTGTCCGGTCCACTTGCCCTCGCTGCCAGCAGGTGGAAGACCCTCCGCAAGTAGCAGGCCTTGAAGGTGGCGATTACATCCTGGTTCATGGGCTGAATGAGGGCTGTGGTGTTCTTCGGCAAGTACTCCACGCGCACATGGTCTGAGAGGTCGTCCAGGTTCCCGGGGTGGCCGGGGGCACTGTCCAGGATGAGCAGTGCTTTGTACGGGAGGCCGTTCTGGGCACAGTACCTCTCCACAGCAGGGCAGAAGAAGTGCACGAACCACTCCTGGAAGAGGCTCATGGTCACCCAGGCCTTCTTGTGTGATCGCCACACCACGGGCAGGTTGGGCTTGGAAAAGCCCTTGAGGGCACGCGGGTTCTCCGAGGGATACACCAGCAAGGGCTTCAGCTTGAAGTCACCGGCCGCGTTGCTGCCGAGAAGCAGGGTCAGGAGATCCCGGGCAGCCTTGAACCCGAGGGCTGACTTCTCCTCTAAGGAAATGAACGTCCTGTCTGGCAGCCGCTTCCAGAAAAGCCCGGTTTCGTCCACATTGAACACCTGCCGGGGCGTGTAGCCGCCGTCCTGAATCACTCTCCGCAGCAGGATAGGGTACTTGCTGGCAGCCTCCGCGTCGGCAGCTGTGGCCTCACCGCTCGCCCCGATGCCATGCAGGCTGTGGCGCGCCTTGAAGCGGGCAAACCACCCGCGACTGGCCCCAAACGTTTCAGACTCCGCGCCCTCGCCCTGCTCCCGCTTGAGGTCCTCGAACAGGCTACGAGCCTTCTCTTGGATGAGCACGACGTTAATAGGCACGTTACGCTGGTTCTGGTCCTCGATCCACACGCTAAGCAAACGTTCCATGTTCTCCATCACCAGGCTGCGGCTTCGCGTCAGCTTGGTGGCCGCCTGTGGCGTGGCTGCCTGGGAGCTCGCCCGGATCTTGTCCTTGTTGTCTCGGATCGTAGCCACGGTGGAGGTGGACAGCCCCAGCGCCTTGGCGATCCGACTGAGCTTCTCTCCAGCTTCAAAGCGCCGCAGCACCTCCAGCTTCACCTGCAGGTTGATGGCCTTGCGGTCCCGCTTGCTGCCCCGGCACTCGCCAGCACTCGGCGGCCTCTTGAGCTGAGTCCTCAAGCCCCAGACAGGGGACAAGGAGGCACTGTCTACGTCAGTCTCTCCTGGCATCTTCGGAGAATATCTGTGTCCCTGCCCTGTGCCCAGGGCTTTCAGTGCTGCTGCAGCCTGGGCCCTGACCCGCTGTAAAATGGGGAGATAATATTTATTGGTAGGAAATGCTGACAAGCTTGGGCAAAACCTGTTAAGAATTATGCAGGAACTCTTCAGACAGGGATTGGACTGGACTGTGGGGCATAAAGTGATACTCGTGAAGAACGTCCCTCTTAGACAAGTAGATATAAGACACCAAAGGGACAGCTTCTGTCCAGAAGTTAGAGGGGAAGGCAGAGAGAGTAAGGAGCTGGTTGAATGTTCACTGGGAATCAGGGGCGGAGGGGACGAGTGTGCTGTCGCAGAATGGGGTGAGCGGTTGGGGTGTCATAACAATGTATGTTTAAGAAAAAAAATTCTGTATGGGAGACTAACTTGAAATGTAAACTTCATTTAATTACAGCAATAAAAAAAAAGAATTATGTAGGAGTCTCTCTCTTTAGGGAACAGATCCCGGTCCAATATTTGGGGACAGTTCGCTTGCCACTGGGAGAATTCTGGCCCATCGAACTAAGTTAACTTCACTCTTAGAAATGAACAAGCTCTCTACACCCACCACGACTCTAAACAATGCCCCCCCCCCAACATCCAGTGATTCACCACAGGCTCCCACTACCCCAAATCACCGACTTGGAGGCCTCCTAAATGCCTTGAGGTGACACGATACACAATAAGCTGATTCAGACCAAATGCAGAAACTGAAAATCAAAAAAAAGAGAAAGAAAAGTCTCTCCACATTCCAGCTCCTCAGCACAGGAGCTAACTGCAACTGTGCATAAAACTGAGTCCAAGGGCTCAGGGCAGCCAGGAGGAGGGACAAGAAGCTGTCCAGTTACAGGAAACACTTTTTCTAGCCTGGAGCTTGGAGAGATCTTCAGCAACATAATTAAGGATGTCAGGACTACCAGGATTGCTTTTTGCTGGTGGTTTATTTTTAAAGGTAATACATGCGCATGGTAAAATACACCACCCCAATTGGCTATAGGAGACCCAGGTAAGGGTCTCTCTCCCACAGTGGGGCCCAGAGGCAGCCACCAAGACCAGTCTCCTATGCATCCTCCCGCAGCGGGGGAAGTCCAGGCTCCTTGCTTCTTCCATGAACAGCATCTCTCAGGTTCAGTTTTGTGTCTTTTATTTGCAATCAGAGTTTTATGGTAACACAGCCCTGGCTGTTGTCAAAAGGTTGCCAGCCTTTCAACATCCTGTGGGGCAGCTAGGCAGGGCCACTATGGGAGTTCCCAGGCCTTGTGGCTTCTCAGGAAGCCCAGGAATGGGGTCAACGGTGAGGCACTGGCTTTGACAGCAGGGGCGTGGTCCAGCCTCCCCACTTACCTGCAGGAGACCGTGGACATGCTCCTTGGCCATTACGCCCTCCCTCCATGTGTACCTGATCAATGTCTGTGAGCACGGGCCTCCCTGCCCCTGTGGAAGCGCCTGGGTTACCTGCCAGGACCAGAAACACTGGGAGTGCCTCCTAGGGACAAGCTTCAGTGCCCACCTCACTGCTCTGAAGGGTGAGGAATGGACAGCAGCCCACACACCCCAGCCAGGCTGGACAACAGATCATGAGGCAGCTGCACTGACTCCTAAGAAGCTGCTAAAAAGAACCGGTGGAGCTGCATGTGCCTCTGGAAGCAGCCCCAACATAAGGGAAAACAGCAGGCTGTGGAGCATTAGTGGGGTTTCTTTGGGAACATCTATGTGCATATGTACACACACGTATGTGTGTGCTCCACATGTATGTACGTAAGAGAAGGGAGGAAGGACACACAGCAAACCATCAACAGTATCCGCCTCTGAAGAGGGAGACCACACAAGGCACGTTAACTTTGCTTGCTTTTGTAAAGTGTTTTGACTTGAACTGTGTCCCCAAAAAACATGTGCTGCAAATCCTAACCCCTATACCTCTGGTTATAATCCCATTTGGGAATGAGTTTAATTGTTATGTTAATGAGACAGTATTATTGTAGGGTGTGTTTTAAATCAGTCTGTTTTAAGCTATAAAAGAGATTAAACAAGTAAGCAAGGAAGCAGAGAAGGGGGAAGATAGATGCCATAACACATGAGGATCACCAAGAAGCCAAGGAATAAAAGCTGAAAAGACAAGGACCTTCCCCAAGAGCCGACAGAGAAAGCCTTCCCCTCGAGCCAGCACCCTGAATTCGGACTTTTAGCCTCCTGAGAAAATAAACTTCTGTTTGTTAAAGCCACTAACTTGTTATAGCAGCACTAAATAACTAAGACATAAGGTTGAATTATTTTATAATGCGCATATATTACATTTTTTAAATTTTTATTTATTTTGTTGTTGTTGAGAATATACACAGCAAAACATACCCCAATTCAACAGTTTCTACAAAAACATGGAATGCTTCATGAATTTGCCTGTTATCCTTGCACAGGGGCCATGCTAATCTCTCTATCGTTCCATATTTAGTATATGTGCCACCAAAGCGAGCACTGTATTACATTTTTTAATTAAAAAAATAAAACTGGAAGGTGAACATTACGTAATGATCAGAGTATTCCTATTTCTGTGCAACAGACATTATGGCTAAATTAATAAAAGAAAACCCACTTTTGGAAAGTCAGGCAGAGCCCAGGGTGGAGAGACAGGGAGGAGGTACATGGGCAGCAAGGAGGCTACCTGGAGGACCTGGCTGCTCACCCAGCAGGCACCAGGGGCCAGTCCAGGCTAGGGGCTGCACGGAGACCAAGAGAAGTAAAGCGGAGACCAAAGCCTGCCCTCGAGGCACAGCCGAGAAGCCCTAGAAAAAGGAGAGGAGCCCCAGCCTCTAGCTGTAGGCTAGTTTGGTCATTCCTGCCCATGGACGTGCTCCCTGGGCGCACTCAATGCCCTTTTAAAATGTGAACTGGGTGGCAACAGTAAAACCCTGGATTTCCAGCTTTTCTAGCTGTACCATCTGTCAGCAGTCAGAGCTAAGCCCTGGTGGCCCCACCTGTGCCCTCTGCCTATTGTGGCCCTGGTCTGGCCCCCAAGCATGTGGGTTTGGGTCCTGAGGTCCCAAGACCCAGGGAGGTGCCCACTCCTCTCTCTAGACAGCATGAGCTGGGGAGGCCCCACCTGGAGCCCGTGTCCTCAGATACAGCCCCCTCAGAACCGGGACCCAGGGAAGGCTACAGGGGAGGCTCCCGTGCCAAACCTGCAGGTGAGGAGTGTCGAACACGCTGCTGCACAGTTTAGTGTAAGGAGGGGCTGCACACTCCCTTGCAAGACAGCACTGACCCTCCACCCCCAAAGGCTGCCGTGCACCTGTGTGCCCTGAGCACACCAACTCCTGCCCCACACGCAGCCCTGTACTCTGCTTGTGGAGCCCACGCAGCAGGCACACAGCCCATCCCCAAGGCCTGCCCAGACGCCAGGCTGGGGCTCAGACTCCTTCAAGATGTGCTGCATTCAGAAGGGTGCTCCAGGTTGGTACCTTGTTCCCTGCCTGCCGGAGCTTGACACCTCAGGACACCTCCATCTGCCCACCTGTCATGACTTTCTGGACATACTGCTGGGCAAAGAATGTGGGGTCTCGGCCATCCTTCACAAACGGTCTCTGCCCCAGGAGACCTTCTGCTCTGTGGGCACGGGGGGGTCAGACAGAGCTGTGGGTGGGGGGAGGGCAGCAGTATGTGCCATCTTCGGCTTCAGAGGACTCACAGCTCACCTGAGCACCGTCTGAGAAGGGCTTGGCCACCTCTGCTGGGTCTCCGGACTGCCCATCCTCATGAGGGTCCTGGGCCAGCACTAGGGGGAAAGGAGAGCATTAGCATTCTCAGTCCTGCTCTAAGCACATGGGGGTCGGTGTCCACGACAATCAATCAATCATACAGGCGGTAAACTGTATGCCATGCCCCTGAGTGCTCACTGCACCAGCCTGGGCTGGATGTTGCCTGAGGACTCCAACCAGACAGGACATGGCCCTGCCATCCAGATCACACAGGATACCCCACCCCTGAGCAAACACACATGCACACCAAGAGGACACCCAAGGTCCCTGAAACCCAAGCCAGGAAGTCACTGGACAGCAAGGAGATGGACGCAAGATTAGAAGCTACCTTCTACTGTGGCGGGATGTGCAGAAAAGGGTTAACTCAGCAGGTCTGCGTTGTCCGCACCCTGCACATACCAAAGAAAAGCTCCACCCTTTCCTGGATCCTAGGAGATAACCTATGTTGTTGTGTTCTATCTAGTCAATTCGGATTCATAGTGACCTTACAAGGACTGAGTAGAACTGCTCCATAGAGTTTCCTAGGCCATGATCTTTACAGGAGTAGACTGCCAGGTCTTTTCTCCTGCAGAGCAGCTGGTGGGTACTACGAACCACCGACCTTTCGGTTAGCAGCCATCTCTTAACCACTGCAACATCAGGACTCCTAGATAACCTCTGTTGTTGTTAGGTGCCGTGGAGTCGTTTCAGACTCATAACGACCCCATGTAACAGAACTAAATGCTGCCCAGTCCTGAGCCACCTTCACAATCATTGCTATGTTTGAGCCTATTATTGCAGCCACTATGTCAATCCATCTCATTGAGGGTCTTCCTCTTTTTCGCTGACCTTTTACTTTACCAAGCACGATGTCCTACTCCAGGGATTGGTCCCTCCTGATAGTATGTCCGAAGTATCTGAGATGGTCTCGCCATCCTCACTTCTAAGGAGCATTCTGGCTGTACTTCTTCCAAGACAGATTTGTTCGTTCTTCTGGAAGTCCATGGTATATTCAATATTCTTCGCCAAGACCATAATTCAAAGGCATCAATTCTTCTTCAGTCTTCCTTATTCATTGTCCAGCTTTCACATGCATATGAGGCAACTGAAAATATCGTGGCTTGGGTCAGGTGCACCTTAGTCCTCAAAGTGACAGCTTTGCTTTTTAACACTTGAAAAAGGTCTTTTGCAGCAGGTTTGCCCAAGGCAGTATGTCATTTGATTTCTTGATTGCTGTTTCCATGGGCACTGATTATGGATCAAAGTAAAATGAAATCCTTGACAACTTCAATCTTTTCTGTTTATCATGATGCTGCCTATTGATCCAGTTGTGAGGATTTTTCTTTTACGTTGAGGTGTAATCCATACTGAAGGCTGTACAGTCTTTGATCTTCATCAGTAAGTACTTTAAGTCCTCTTCAATTTCAGCACACAAGGTTGTGTCATCTGCATATCGCAGGTTTTTCATGAGCCTGCCTCCAATCCTGATGTCAAGTTCTTCTTCATACAGTTCAACTTCTCCGATTTGCTCAGCATACAGATTAAGTACAGTGAGAGGATACAACCCTGATGCACACCTTTTCTGATTTTAAACCACACAGTATCACCTTGTTCTGTTCAAACGACTGCCTCTTGTTCTATGTACGGGTTCCGCATGACAATTAAGTGTTCCAGAATTTCCATTCTTCACAATGTTATCCTTAATTTGTCATGATCGATACAGTCAAATGCCTCTGCATAGTCAATAAAACACAGGTAAACATCTTTCTGGTATTTTCTGCTTTCAGCTAAGATCCATCCAACATCAGCAATGATATCCCTTGTTCCACAACCTCTTCTTAATCTGGGTTGGATTTCTGGCAGTTCCCTGTAGATGCACTGCTGCAACCATTTTTGGATTATCTTCAGCAAAATTTTACTTATGTGTGAGAGTAATGATATTGTTCAATAATTTCTGCACTCTGTTGGATCACCTTTCTTTGGAATGGGCACAATATGGATCTCTTCCAGTCACCTGGCCAAATAGCTGTCTTCCAAACTTCTCAGCATTGCATCTATTTGTTGGAACATCTCAATTCCATCAATCCCTGGAGGCTTGTTTTTCACCAATGTCTTCAGTGCAGCTTGGACTTCCTCCTTCAATACCATCAGTTCTTGATCATATGCTACCTCCTGAAATGGCTGAACACCAACCAATTATTTTTAGTACAGTGACTCCGTGTTTTCTTTACTTCCTTTGATGCTTCCTGTGTCATTCAATTTTTTGCCCATAGAATCCTTCAAGATTGCAACTTGAAGCTTGAAATTTTTTCTTCAATTCTTTCATCTTGAGAAATGTGAAGGGTGTTCTTTCCTTTTGGTTTCCTAACTCCAGGTCTTTGCACATTTATTATAATACTTTGTTTTCTTGAGCCGCCCTTTGAAATCTTCTGTTCTGCTATTTTACTTCATCATTTCTTCTGTTTGCTTTAGCTACTCGACATTCAAGAGCAAGTTTCAGAGTCTCTTCCGACATCCATATTGGTCTTTTCTTTCTTTCCTGTCTTTTTAATGGCGTTTTGCTTTCTTCATGTATGATGTCCTTGATGTCATGCCACATCTGTCTGGTCTTCAGTCATTAGTGTTCAATCTGTCATGTCAAATCAATTCTTGAGATGGTCTCTAAATTCAGGTGGGATATACTCAAGGTCATACTTTGGCTCTCATACACTTGCTGTAATCTTCTTCAGCTTCAACTTGAACTTGCATATGAGTAACTGATGGTCAGTTCTGCAGTCGGCCCCTGGCCTTGTTGTGACTGATGCTACTGAACTTCTCCATCGTCTGTTTCCACAGATGTAGTCGATTTGATTCCTCGGTAGTCTATCTGGCGAGTTCCACATGCATAGTCCCATTCATGTTCTTGAAGAAGGTATTTCCAATGACTAGGTCGTTGGTCTTGCAAAATTCTATCATGCAATCTCCGGTGTCATTTCTATTCATTACCAAGGCCATATTTTCCAACTACTGAGCCTTCTTCTTTGTTTCCAACTTTCACATTCCAATCACCAGTAATCATCAATGCATCTTGATTGCGTGTTTGATCAATTTCAGACTGCAGAAGTTGGTAAAAATCTTCAATTTTCTCATCTTTGGCATTAGTGATTGGTATGTAAATTTGAATAATAGTCATATTAACTGGTCTTCCTTGCAGATGTATTGATATTATCCTATCACCGACAGTGTTGTACTTCAGGATAGATCTTAAAATGTTCTTTTTGACAATGAATGTGACATCGCTCCTCTTCAATTTGTCATTCCCGGCATAGCAAACCATATGATTGTCTGATTCAAAATGACCAATACCAGTCCATTTCAGCTCACTAATGCCTAGGATACCAATCTTCAAGCATTCCATTTCATTTTTGACAACTTCCAATTTTCCTAGATTCATACTTCATACGTTCCACGTTCCGCTTACTAATGGATGTTTGCACCTGTTTCTTCTGAGTCGTGCTACATCAGTAAATGAAGGTCCCAAAAGCTTTACTCCATCCACGTCACTGAGGTTGACTCTACTTTGAGGAGGCACCTCTTCCCCAGTCGTATTTTGAGTGTCTTCCAACCTGAGGGGCTCACCTTTCGGTAGTATACCAGACAATGTTTCACTGCCGTTTCATAAGGTTTTCACTGGCCCATTTTTTCAGAGGTATCTCACAAGGTCCTTCTTGCTAGTCTGTCTTAGTCTGGAAGCACCGCTGAAACCTGTCCACCATGGGTGACCCTACTGGCATTTGAAATACCAGTGGCATAGCTTTCAGCATCACAGCAACATGCAAGCCATTACAGTACGATAAACTGACAGTCAAGTAGTGGAGATAACCTCCAAGCCCTTGGAATACCCTGTATAATGAGAGCGTCTTTGTTTACCCCAGGGCTTCAGGCCACACCAGAGTCCCTGGGTGGTGCAAACAGCCATGCACTTGAATGGCTGGAGGTTCAAGTCTACCCAGAGGAACCTCGGAAGGAAGACCAGGCAATCTACTTCTGAAAAATCAGTCATTGAAAACACACTGTGGAGCACAGCTCTACTCTGACACGCATGGGGTCGTCATGAGTCAGAATCGACTCCACAGCAATTGGTTTTGGTTGGTGTACACCAGATAGTTTATCTAACAATGTGATTTATAGTAGGGGCCTTGGACTTCTCCTTTGGAGAGGCAGGAGACTGAGTAACTAAGGTTAGCCCACAACCAACCTATGGCAATGTGATCAACTACCAAAAAAAATCCCGTACACTAAGACTCAGACTTCCCTGGGTGGCAATACTTCACACGTGTTGTCACAAGATTGCTGTCAGAATTAAGTGTTATCCGTTAAGATTCCAGCAGGAGAGGACATTTGGACGCTCCTGCCTGGTCTCTCCTGGAACTTGCCCTGTGTGTCTGCATCCTTTCATGGTAATAAACTTACCAGGAGTATAACGGCTTTCAGTGAGGTCTGTGAGTCTCTGTAGTGAATCACAGCCCAAGGACAGTGACAGCCGGGGAAGAGCTCGGGACACCAGGGTCCTGGAGTCCCCAACACCATCACAATAGCCATCACTGAGATCACCTAGAGAAAGCCTGGCCAAAGGGCAGGGCAGAGAAAACAGGTCTCTCTCTCCAATCTCACATTGGGGCATCAGAGGGGCCAGCAATGAGTGGGGCCTCGGTCAGTCAGGGCACGGGATGAAGACAGGAGTCTCCACGTAAATGTGAACTGTTGTGAATTTGCAATACTGAGATATAATAAATGTGAACTTGAAACCGTGTGGTTTCAATGCTGAGTGGATGTAGTGGCGCACACTCACAGAGATCCATGTGAGTGCTAGGACTGAGCTCGTTAACTGACCTGCAGGCTGCTGTTCTAACATCCACAGTGTTTTGATGGAAAATCCCTTTTTATAATGTGTGTTGTTGGAGCGTTCGTTCAGAAGGAAGCTGGGAAACAGCCGGAATCCCCAGCCTATGGGAACCAGAACTGGAGCCAGTCCTCTCAAGAGGGGGCAAGCATTGGTCGTCACTCAAAACACGGGCAGAAGCCTTAAGAGACAGAGCCCAACATTCCAGCAAAAATACCCCATGAGGATTACAGATGTATGCATCCAGAGACATCTCGTTTGCACCTCACATATATGCCTAGGCAAAAAACAGTTTTGATTTATCAAGATTTTCAAATTTCCTTGGTAGGGTTTGAATCCAGTTTGCAACTCTTCCAACATATGCAGAAAAATCTTCCTCATGTCCCTCTCAGAAGCCCTTATCACCAGCCAGCTGCAGCCCCTCCTGAGGAGTCTGGGTCCTAGCCCTGTGGTTCCTCCTCCAAGCTTCTAATTGTCCTAATTCCAACCTCTTCCCTTTGTTCCCCCAGCTCTAGGAGTGAACACTGCTCACTGCAGTTCTTACTGCCATGACATCTAGTGTTTGTTTTTTTGTTGTTTTTTTTTACCTTTTCTGTCCTTCAACATCTAGGTAAAATCCTTTACGTTAAATTCCCTGTTAAAACAAGTGTTGTGCAGCCAATTCTTCAAAAGTTTAAAGCAAGAGTTACAGCATGACCCATCAATTCCACTCCTAAGTGTACACCCAAGAAAAATGAAAACATACTTCCACACAATAGCTTGTACACAAATGTTTATAGGAGCATTATTTCTAATAGCCAGAAAGTAGAAACCACTCAAATGTCTAGCAACAGATAAATGAACAATTAAAATGTGGTACATCCGTACGATATTTAGCCATAAAAATGAAAGAAGTACTGATACACGCTACAATGTGGACGAACCTTGAAAACATTATGCTCAGCAAAAGAAGTCAGATACAAAAGGCCACATACTGCATGATTCCATTTATACGAAATGTCTGGAATAGACAAGTCCACGGGGACAGAAAGCAGATTAGTGGTTGCCAGGGGTTGTGAAGAGGGAGAAATGAAGAGAGACTGCTTAATGGGTACAGGATTTCTTTTTGAGGTGATGAAAGCGTTCTGGAATTACATAGTTGTGATGACTGTACAACTCTGAATATTCTAAAAGCCACTGAACTGTAAACTTTAAACAGATGAACCGTATGGTATGTGCATTACACCTTAATAAAACTGCTACCAAGAAAAGTGCTTCGGTTTCTGTCTCCTGACTAAAACAGAGGGAAAGCATGCAGAAGCACTACATCAACGTGCATGAGTGAACGAGTGCAGACAGAGAATACAGGAATGAATGACAGCTGGAACCTACTTCTCTCTTGACTGTTTCATGGTTGTCACTCTCTGCCCACAGACCCACACATACGCACACACAGAGACACACGCACACACACACACATAGGGAGCCCAAGGTGAAGACAGGAACTACAAAGCTACCCCTGGCCAGGCTGCCCTCTGTGCTTGCCTACTCTACCCCCATCCCCTCCAGGGAGAGAAAAGCACCCCAAACTGGGAGGGGAGCTCTCGCCGCCCATCTCGACTAGATAAGGCTCCATAAGTGAGGGAACTTGCCTGTGTCTTTCCCTGCTGTACCAACAGGGACTGGTGCACATCAGGTACTCACTGACCTCGTGAGGAAGGAGGGAAGGAAGGAAGAGGAGGCCTGGGGAACACTGGGAGGCTGAAAAGTCACATCAACCTCAAGCTCACGCTTCAGGGAGGCTCCTCAGAAGTTGGAAGACTCCAAACCTACTGGTGCCTCTGACTCTTCATCCCCACAACAGGGACATCAAGAGCCTGAGCAGAGCTGGTGGGCACTTAGGACCCAGGATCATGGGCTGTATCCCCTCACACATTACCCCGCCCTTTGGGCCCTCTAACCAGCCTCCTGGACTCCCAGGGCTCACCAGTCTCCTGAAACATCTGGGTGAGGTCCTCCACAAGTGCCGCAGCCTCCTCGCCGCTCTTGGGACACTGGGCCTCCACCCAGACCCTGGCATCTGAAGGCAGCACACCCAGGAACTGTTCCAGCACCAGCAGCTCCAGCATTTGCTCCTTGGAGTGCAGCTCGGGCTGCAGCCACAGGCGGCACAGCTTGCGCAGCTGGATCAGGGCCTCATGAGGGCTGGAGGCCTCTTCATAGCGAAAGCTACGGAATCGATGCCGCGGGTCCCTGCCAAGCCTGGGTGGCAGGGTTGGGGGCTGAGGTTCCTGAAGGGGTCCAGGTTCCCATGGGGCAGCCTCATCCTCCTCCATCTTGATGATCACAAGTCCTTCCTGCTCAAAGGACTCTGGGCCAGTTGCCATGGTGAGGCCACAGGAAGTTGGTCTCTTTTCCTCTCACTTGTGCCACACACACCACCTGCCTGGGACACACGCCCCCATCCAATCAGGGACGTGATGCCTACACCCCTCTGCCCACCCACATCCTGCAAGACCACCTGCTGGGGGCTCCCCAGGCTCCTCCGTGTCCTGGCCAGTTGAGCAGGAGAGCTCCTCCATCCTTAAGCCTTCAAAAGGACATTCAGAACACTTGGCATTGGGAACCCATACACGTGGAGAATGGGCCCACCTTTGCCAGGGAACTTCAGATGGTTGGGCCAGACTGGGGCACGCAGGGCAAGAAGCATGGTCCTGGGGGCTGGGACTCCAGAGATGAGAGCATCAGAGCTGCTCCCAGGATGGGAGATGTGGGCATGCTCAGTGTCTCTGGTGAACTGAGAAAACCCTACCAGCAGCCAGGCAGAGTGCAAGTGGGAGCTAGCAGAATATCAGTACCCAGAGGGAGTCTGAACAAGTGAGACACAGCCTGAGGGCACTGGGAAGATTGACAGGAGAGATGGGCTGAGAGAACAAGATGGAGGCCAGGGGTGGCTGCAGTCCAGCTATGGAGAGCCAGGCACCTTAAAGGCAAGGGATGGCTCCTCCACTGGGAGGCCTTCCCTTCCCCCATGGCCAACTCCCACAGAGTCCATGAGGCTCAGCTCAACCACCTGAGACTACAGGTAGAGTGGATGGGGAGAGCCATCCACCCTACACTGCCAGACAAAAGAGTAAGCCATGACCCTCCTCATCCAACGTATCTCAGAGGTCAGAATTTTAAAACCACAAACCGTTGCATGCATGTTTGTGTGTGTACACAGGTGTTACTGTTATATTACATTACTGTTATGTTCAGGAAGGGTCTAGAAGAATAAACACCTGCCTGATAATTCTGGGGAAAACAATTAGGGAAGAACACCCACTTTTTCCTTTCTAAATTCCCATATAGCATCGGAATTTTCTTTGCAACGTTCATGTGTTAAACGACTGGGACTTAAAAAAAAAAAAAAAAGATATTTTAAATCCCAATGCATCTTTTTAAAGGGGCTGGTCACAGCCCCACAGCCCAGGGCAGTCCCCTCCCACCCCGAGATCCTCACTCTCCAGGAGGGTGCCATGAGAAGCTAACAGCTGCGGAGAGGGCAATTCAGGTGGAGGGAACGGCACATGCAAAAATCAAGGCAGGTCTTTCTGGTACTTCGACTAGGGTGAGGATCTGGATTTCAATCCCAGTGTGCGGGGAGCCCCATCTCACCCCACATGCTCACAGTATGGAAGGGTGCACCCAAGCGCAATGAGTACAAAAGTAGTCCCTTGCCCAGACGGCCGAAATCCCGGAAAGCTTCCCAGAGGAGGTGTGGGCCGTTTACAGGGAGCTAGTGGCACAGTGGTTAAGTGCTTGGCTGCTAACCAAAAGGTTGGTGGTTCAAACCCACCAGCCAGTCTGAGAAAGAAAAGTGTAGCTGCTTACTTCTGTAAAGATTACAGCCGTGGGCACCCTGTGGGGCAGTTCTACTCTGTCCTGTATGGTCGCTACGAGTTGGAATCGACTCCACAACAACACGTTTGGTTTTTGGTTTTTTTGGATGGGAAAGTGGAACAGATGAGTGGGCATGGACACCAGTGGAGGGGGGGGTCCAGGAAGAGGCTGGAAGGGACAGGGAACCAGGAACAGCTATGGAGGCGACGTGGGGGCCAAGACTACGGGCTGGAAAAACGAAGAGGGTTCAGGAACGCCAGCTATGGCGCCAGATGGGTGCCAGTTCCCGGGCAGAGACCCGGGAGAAGTGACGGGAGCTCCCCCAACCCTTCCCCACAGCACATCCTGACAGCAGAAACCACTTCCGGGGATGGCCCCGCCCCCGCCGGACTCCAGGTCCAGTGGTCCCCGTGCCGCCCTTCTCAGAGGTCTCGCCGTCCGCGTTCCTATAGAGATGGGTTCCCCCACTGCCCCCGGCCGGCCGGCCGCACACCATGCCTGGGGCTTTCCCGATACCTCCGACCTTCCTGCGCCCAGACTCACCACCCCCGGGAGTCGCGTGACCGGCCCCTCCGCGAGGGAACGACGACCAACCACCCTGGGGCCCGAGGAAGCGGAGCTTCCGGTCTTTTCGCGCGCCACTTCCGGCGTTTTATCATCCCCCTCTGTCCCTGGACCCCTCACGTGCGACCTTCCAGCCTACGTCCCACGCTAGCGCGCAAAGTTGGGCGGCGGGGGTCAGGCGCGGAGTGTCTCTATGGCAACGATCCACGGGAGTGGGGGGAAGCGGAAGGAGTGCACTCTCCGCGGGGCTTTCTGGGAAATGTATTCCACAACGGAGGCGTCGGAAAACCAGACCGCAGTGTTCAAGATACTAATTTCCTAGGAAGCAGCAGGCACCCTCACTCGGGGGTGGGGGGTGGGGGTGGGAGGGAACGCAAGGGTTGCCAGAAAGTTAATTCTTTGGGTGCCTGTGAGAGGGCGTTCGTTGAGGTGGTTCAGAGCCTCTTCTGCGCACTTGTCAGGGGGCCAAGTGCCGTCTTCGGCTCCGAGGAGATGGGTCCTGGAGCCAGAGAGGTCCACGGGTACGTCCTCACCTCCAAGCACTGCCGTGTGATCTCCAGGCCAGTCGCTTCCTCGGGCTGGGGTGGCAGCTCACCCCCCTTCCCCAACTCTTGGGACTTGGCTCATCTCCAAACCTCCACCATCCGTTTGGATTTGGCCCCACCATCCCCAGCCTGCTCGCCTGCCTTCTCCAGCTACTGGGACGTGGTCACCCACTGTGGGCCACTCCAGGTCCACTCCTCCCTCCTCAGGCCTGCTGCCCCCCACTTTATTCTGACAAGCCCCTGACACGTGGCATTCTGAAATGACTGGTTTTCTGGTTGCTCGTCAGCAACGTCCCCAAAGCCTAGGATGTCACCTCCCCAGAAAGTCTTACCCGATGGGTCCTGTCCTCTGCCTCGATTGGACTGGGGTCTCTCCTAAGTCCCCCATCATAGCCCTGTCACACAAATCATGACCTTTGGGCTGGCAACTCCTGAAGCCACTCATCAACCCTGCTTTCCCCAACACCTAGCACATTAGAAGTGCTCATAATTTGTACAATGAATTAACCCAGTCACCAAGATGCTGAGAAAAGCTCCATCACTTCTTCCACTCTTCTCTCCACTCCTCCAGGGAAAGCATGCAAAGGACCTCATCTGACCTTCACCAGCAAGGCTGGGCCCCCAGCCACTGTGACGTGTTGTCAGCAGGCCCCATCAATGCAATCGTTAGCCAAGACAGAGGTGGCAGAAATCCATTCTCCCATCTTTATTTCTTGGCTCACAGACACACGCATGCACAGATGCCCATGCTGAAAGGAGTTCATGAGGCCTGATATCTCTGTCCCACCACCTGTTGCTCACAGAGCAAACATCTTCCCTTGTTGAATATGTGTGTTTTGGTGGCCAGCATGGTTTGTCTGTAGGGTTGGGTGGACACCCCAGGGTGCCTGCTGTTGCAGTTTGAGTGGCAGGAGACCAAGCTGGAATGAGAGGAAATGACAAGGCTGTCAGGGGGTAGGGGGAGAGTCTGTCCATTGGAGATACAGCTATGGGTCTAGAGCTCGGAGAGGCTAGGCTGCAGCCACTGAGCTGGGAACCAACCCTGAGGTGGTCACTGAGCCCTCAGGAGTGGATGGGATTTCCCAAAGAGCACCAGACCCAGCGATTCTCAGAGCTGTAGAAGGCTCAGTGGCAGAGGCTGGAGCAAAACCAAACCAGCTTCGTCACAGAAGCCTGGGGAAGAAGACATCTCCAAACGTAGGAAGCAGTATCTGGTAGCAAAGGCCACAGTGGGGTAAAGACAAGAGCCAACCTGTGCCCACAGATTCAGGTACAAGAAGGGCAACAGACACCTTGACCAGACAAGACATTATAGCAGAGTGGGGTGAAGACAGCATGAGAGGTGAGCAGGGAGATGCTGAGTGCAGGGAACTCTCCTCTGAACATTGTCTGGAAAGGACCACAATGGAGCAGAGAGTGGGATGCTGGGGAAAAGGGAGAGGCTAGTGTCTCAGCCTTGGCCCCTCACCGCCACCAAGAGGGCAGCCCTATTGGGCTGCACTGGGCAACTACTTCACCTTCAGGTATGCATCTCTGTCACAGTGTGCACTCCTGGGCCCCAGAGCTCACTGACCAATCAGGAAGAACCCTTCTCCTGTTCCCCCAAGCCAGTAACACCGTATGTGAATAGCTGTAGAAGGGCCACGAGGCATAAGCTGTGAGAAACGTGGGTGGGAAAGAGGCAGCATCTGCCCTCCAGAAACATCACTGGACAGAGCTCATCTAAGGTCAGACCCAAACCCAGAATCCAGAGATGACCTGCAGGGCAGCCACAGCATGTCCTCCTGGGGCTGTGGCCTCAGCCACTCACGTGTCCTGAGGCGAGGACAGTCCTCCAGTCAACTCCCTTGCTGCCGAAGCCACCCGAGCCTGCCGCCTTCTGTCTCGATGCAGCTCCCGGAGACAGGCGAGGGCACTGTGGACACCCCGAGACACCCGCAGGCTGCGCTCCCTGTTGGGGTCATTGTCTACGAGGATCCGCAGACCAGTGGCAAAGTGGGACAGGGCCTGGGTCAGATGCTCGGGGCTCAGCCTGCCCACACCAGCCTCCTTGGCCCCTGCACCCTCCCTGGCCTCCGTGAGCTCCTGCTCTGATCTCTTGGAGGCCAGGCCTTTCTCTTCCTCCCAAGGTGGCCCAGAGCAGCCGACGTCCCCATCATCTGCATCCTGGGGCCTGCTGTGGGGCAGGGGCTCCCCGTGGGCCTGCAGCAGGCAGGCAACATCAGCCTCAGCCAAGTCCCCAAGGCCTACGTGGCTGGCCAGTGCCACGATGCTGCGGCGGAGCTGGGCCACAGCATCAGGCTCAGGGGCGCCATCAGGCACGCACTCAGGCCACAGCTTCCTCCAGGCGCCATTCATAGTGGCGGGCCGTAGTTCTGCCCAGGCCTCAGCAATATTGTCCACAGCACTCATGACAGTATAGCTGCGCCAGAATTCCCAGACAGAGGGCCGGTCCTCACCAGCCGTCTCCTGCACCAGCTGGCTGAGTGTGCGGCGCAGGTAATGGGCCTTGAAGGCAGCGATGACACCCTGGTTCATGGGCTGGATCAGGGCTGAGGTGTTCTTGGGCAGGAACTCAACGCGCACATGGGCTGAGAGGCTGTCCAGGTGGGCAGGGTGGCAGGGCGCACCATCCAGGAGCAGCAGGGCACGGTGCGGGAGGCCACGCTGGGCACAGTAGCTCTCAACAGCTGGGCAGAAGCAGCCAGTAAACCACTCCTGGAAGATGCTGGGTGTCAGCCAGTCATTGCGGTTGGAGCGCCAAACAACTGGCAGGCTGGCCTTGGAGCAGCCCTTGAGGGCGCGTGGGTTCTCTGAGGGGTACACCAACAGGGGCTTCAGCTTGAAGTCACCAGCCGCATTGCCACCAAGGAGCAGGGTCAGGTGGTCCTTGGATGCCTTGGGTGCTGGCCCAGCTGCCCCCTCCAATGCCAGCAGTGTGCGCTCAGGCAGCCGCTTCCAGAACAGGCCTGTCTCGTCTACATTGAAGACCTGCTGCGGCGAGTAACGGCCCTCCTCCAGGATGCCGCGCAGCACTTCAGGGTAGCGGGCAGCAGCCTGGGCATCGGCCACAGCAGGCTCATCCGTCAGCAGTACATTGTGGCGTGCCTTGAAGCGGGCAAACCAGCCATTGCTGGCCCCAAAGGTCTCGGCCTGGGCACCCTCACCCTGCTCACGCTGTAGCTCCGCGAAGAGCCGGCGTGCCTTGTCCTGGATAAGCAGCGTGCTGACAGGTAGGTTCTGTCGCTTCTGCTCCTCAATCCACAGGCTCAGCAGGCGCTCCATGTGGCCCATCACCACACTCCGGCAGCGGGTCAGCTGAGTGGCGCTGACCGGCGTGGCTGCCTGTGAATTGGCCCGGATCTTCTCCTTGTTGACGCGGATGGAGGCCACAGTGGAGGTGGCCAGCCCCAGCGCCCTGGCGATCTGCGTCAGCTTCTCACCCTCCTCGAACCTCCGTAGCACCTCCAGCTTCACATGCAGGGTGATGGACTTCCGGTCCCGCTTGGTGCTGCGGCGGATACCAATCCTGCTGAGGGGGGCCTTCCCCAATACCTGCAGGTGGGGGGCTGCTGGTGGGATAGCTGTCTTCATTCCACCTCCCCGAGCCATGCACCTCAATGAGCTCCCTACCCCCTGCCCATCCACGCAGCTACCGCCGTCCCCACAATGGCAGCCTCTCGCCCTCTCCGGCCACACCTGTCTCTTCCTGTAAGGGGGGAACACATGGGCATTAATGTGTCAGCACAGAGGAGTCCCGACCACTGTCCAGCCTTCACCCAGTGGCACGCCCAGCCCCTTCTCTCTCTACCACTAGAGCCACTGCACACTTACTTCTCAGCCTCCCTTGGAGCTGAAAAAACATGTCACACAGTTTTGACTGATGAAACCAAAAGAAAGGAGTGCTGGGGGGTTTTACGCTCTTCCCCCAACAAGAGGGCTACAGGACTATCTCCTAACCACACATGAAAGCCAAGAGAGTCAGAAGACCCTGGCCACCTCTCAGACACTGGTGAGCAGATGAGCTACCCATTTCCATGCTCCTTACTCGGGGACTACAGTCAGTATGATAGACCCAATAATGGCTCCCAAAGATGTCCATGTCCTGAACCTGTGAATATATTACCTTACATGGCAGAAGGACTTTGTAGATGTGGTTAAATTAAGGTTCTTGAGATGGGGAGATTATCCTGGATTATCTGGATGAGCCCACTGTAACCACAAGGGTCCTTATAAGAAGAAGAAAGATCAGAGTCAGAGGAGATATGAGGATGGAAGCAAGAGGATGGAGTAATATGAGGAAACTAAGGAATGCAAATGGCCTTTTAGAGCCTCCAGAAAGAACCATCCCTGCCAACCCGTTTCAACTTCTAACCTACAAAACTGTAACAGGATAAATTTGTGTTATTTTTAAGCCACTAAATTTGTGGTAATTTGTTACAGCAGCAATAGAAAACAAATACAGCCAGTGCTGTTTAAGCCACTGTTAGTTTATGTCTTACTTGCAGCCAAACACATTCTAACAGACACTGGCTGTGACTCTGCTCCTAGAGGGGCCGAAGGGGTAAGTGTCTGAATAATGACAACCATGTCTTACGATTCCTGGACACCTGTGAAGGACCAAGCACTTTACAGATACTGTTTAATTTCATCCTCACCACAGTGCAAACGAGAGGCATCATTAGCCCCATTTCACAGACAAACAGAGGATCCTGGAGGGGAGTCCCTTGCTGCAGGCCATTGCCCCCTTGGCATCCATGAAAATGTCCCCAGGTACTTGAGTCCACGAGGCTCTGGACAGATCTCAAGGACCACAGCAGCTGGGAAACTCTGCCAACTTAAGACAGAGACACACTCTCTAGAGATGGAGTCTGGCTGAAGGAAGACTAGCAGGAAAATGGATAAATGCAAAGTGGGAGTACTAGTACAAAGCTGGTGTAATAAGCCCAGCAGGAAAGACCAACAGTCTCAGAAGAGGCACTTCACACAACTTCTGGAGGGGTTGGTGCATGGGGCACCTGCCCAGTGACTGAGGGCAAGGGTACCCCTGAGAGTCCTCCTCCCTAGCCAAGGGGCCACTACCCTCTTCCTCAGAGAAAAGGAAGACTTTGCGAACTACCAATGGGAGCACTTTGTGCCACAAAACTAGGGCCCTTCCAGAGCCAAGAAACAATTTATATAAAGTCAGGATGTTCTGCAGCACCTCTGTCTCTTATTCCACATTAGAGCACCTGCCCAACTGCTCCTTAGTGATAGTCTGCTGAAGGGTGGAGGGAGCCCCCTCTCAGAGCCCCGAGTAGGAAGGTGTGGTCGGCAGAAAATCTTTGTGGTCAGCAAAGATGTCCATGTCCTAATCCCAGAAACTTGCAAATATGTTACCTTACAAGGCAAGAGGGAATTAAGGTTAAAGATGGAATTAACGTTGCTAATCAGAAGATTTGAGATGGGGAGATTATCATGGATTAACCATGTGGGCCCAGTGTAACAACGAGAGTCTTTAAAATGGAAGAGGGAGGTAGAAGACTCAGAACCAGAAGGATGGCATCATGAGAAAGACTCAACCAGCCATTGCTGGCTTTGAAGATAGAGAAAGGGGGTCATGAACCAAGGAATGCAGGTGGCATCTAGAAGCTGGAAAAGGCAAGGGAATGGATTCTCCCCTAGAGCCTCCAGAAGGAACCAGCCCTGCCAACACCTTGATTTTAGCCCCGTAAGTCACTATGAGTCGGAATTAACGGAAATGGGTTTTTTTTTTTTTGTTTTAAGACCTATTTTGGACTTCTGACCTAAAGAATGGTAAGATAATTAATTTGCATTGTCTTATGCCACTTATGTTGGTAGTAATTTGTTAAGAAACTAATACAGAAGAGAATCACCTTAATTACTGCCACCACTGTGAAGCATCCATTGATAAAAGAGATTTAATAAAACCTACGTTTGATCCTGTCCCCCCTCTGCTTGGAGCTCTCCCATGCCTCCCACCTCTCTCTGAGTAAAAGCCAAGGTCCTCACCAGCTGCCTCAGTCCTGGAAGCCTCCTCTCCCTTGATCACTCCTGGCTACATCCCTGGGGCAGGGCAAAGATGCTCCTGACTCAGGGCCTTTGCTCCTGCAGTTACCTTTGGCCCAGTCGAGGATTCTTCCCCATTATCTGCATAGCTTTTTACTTCACCTCCTTTAAGTCCCTGCTCAAATGTAACATGATCAGCCAACCAACACACACACGTATTTTTCTGTGTGTCTGTCACATGCAGCCTGAGGGCTGGAGCTGTGTCTGCTGAGCCTTCTGTTGTGCCAGTGCCCGGCACATAGGAGACACCCAGAGCCACTTGATGAATAATTCTCAAATGAGGTACAGCAGTGGGAGACAGGCTTCTCACTTTGTCCCTTTTGTACTTTGAACCATGTGAACATAGCACCTGATGAAAAAACAAACTTTAAAAAGTAACGCTTGTGAAAACGACAAATAAACACACAATGGATCCGTATTTGTTGAGTGGCTACAGCACCTAGGAGAAGAACCTTCATGGACCCAGGACTCACCTGGCTTGAGACAAAGCCACCCAGCACAGCACAGCACAGCCCACAGGGCCGTCCACCCCAGGGAGGTAGGGAAAGGCAGGTGGTCGTGGGAAGACTCTCGCCAGAAGGCAGACGTGTGTTCAGAGCACTTACACGCCCATCCATCCCTCTACCACCCACGCCTTCCCCTGCGCTTGCACAATTTAATTAACTCATTCATTCATTCTCTCTCTCACCCATCCCCCATGCACTCGCGGGCTCCCCCTCTCGGGGGATAGACCCCAAGCCCGCCGCCCAATGCCTGGGTGGAAAACGGGGCTCGCCCCTCAGGACTACATTTTCCAGACACCCGGAGGACGGCAGGAAAGCGCGCACGCGCTCTGAGACAGAAAAGGCCCGCGAAGGGACAGCAGAGCCTGAAAGGAGCAGGGCATCACCGCACGCTCGGCTCGCGCTGTCGTGGGCGGAAAAGCGCTCCCACCCAGGAAAGAACAGCAATAGAGTCAGCACGTCCCGCAGGACGAACCAGGAGGGCTGGCGTCACGCCCAGCCAGACTACATTTCCCAGACAGCCGCGGGGCCGCCGAAATCTCCGTTTGGCTGACCTCCGCGCGTCACGGGCTGCGCGCGCAGCGGCCTCACACCGTTTCCCTCCCCCGACCGGAGCCGAGCAAGACGGCGCTGTAGCTCCCGTCCCCAGAGCCCAGGCTCCCGCGCGGCCACCAGCTCTCACCTCCGGGCCACGACATGGGCCGTCTACTTCAGTTGGGCCAGCGGAGTAACAGCCCTTTTCCATCTCCCGCCTCACAGGGCCGCTTCCTGGAAGCTGACGAGCCCAGCCTCCATCTTGTCGGAGGGGGAGGAGGGGAGGCGGGATACGGTTGCCAGGCGACGTCCGGAATTGCTGGAGGCCGCGTCGAGCCCGCCCCCGACGGCGCGCTCAGCCCTGTCGACCGCGCCCCGAAATCTTCTGGGAAATGTAGTTCGGTGGCGTGGCCGCTACCCTCGGCTTGTTTTCTCTCCGTCTACTTTCCATCATCCTCCCTACCACCTTTCCTTGTTCTGTCTCACAGTTTTTCTCTTTCTCCCTGACTCTCCCATCCCATAGAATTAATTTCCTTCAGACTGTCAAAATATAATTTTCACAAAAGTTGAAAACATGATTCTCACACAAATCTTCAATGTGCACATGTCAAAGATTTTATTTACCTCACTGAGGGAACCAGCAAAATGATTTAGGTGGTTTCAGGAAGAATGGAGAGAAGCGACTATAGAGACGGTGAAAGAAAGGACACTGAATTAAAGTACAACGTGGGATACAAAACTGCTTAATTGTCCTACAGGTGATACAATCATAAGCTTTTGGGGTTCTCTTTTCTACTGGAGGGAATGCATTTGCAACTTACCAACGTTTTACAAGTTGGCATCTAACTTTGCAGCATCTGGACTCTGATAAAAAGTAGTTAAGTAAAAAAGAGTTGCTTTGCTTATGGAGTCAGATGACCTGAGGCAAGCTTGGTAGACAAAGCTTGGTAAAACCTCAGTGAAGGTTCCCACTCATCTTTTTTCCTTATTTTCACGTTTTGGATGGGTTTTCCTATCCAGTTCTCTCCGACTCTCCCCATCTCTCTTCTTGCTGTCTGTTATCTTTCTCTGAATCTTTGAAAAGTCTCAGCCCATCTTACTGTACCTCTAATTTTGCCCCATTCTCCTCTCTTGCCTGTTCTCCTGTAGCCCTGACTGTCCCTTGAGTCTCATGCACCTCCGGTCTCTGTGGGTCCATCCTACCTCTCCCTCTGTCTCTGTCTCCCCTCTCTTCTCCATCCCATCCTGATCTATCTTGATCTCGTTCTTGCTCTTCTAACACACCTCCCTCCCCAGCCCTGACTCTCTGATCCCTTGATTTCTTATCATACTGTCTCTGAGAAATGAACTTCCTCTCGGCTTTCTCTTTGACCGGTGTCTCTATTCCTATGTCTCTGACTCTGTGTTTCTCGATCTCTCTGTCTTGTTCACTTACTTTCACCGCCTCTCCCTCACATCTCTGTCCTCAGTGGCTCTGGGTTTCTGTCTCTCTCTGCCCCAGAGTGTCTGCATGTCTTTTTCTCTGTCTCTCATAACTCTCCCTGCCCTGAGCCTTTAAGTCACTCTCTCTCTGCCCCGAATATCTGCCCTCGTAGGCTCTGGGTCTCTGTCTCTCCTCACATCTCTCTCTACCCTCAGACTTTGGATCTGTCTCTTCCTCCGAGTCTCTACTTCTCTCTGTCACGGTCTCTCATCACTATCTCTCCCTGTCCAGAGTGTCGGCCCTCGCAGGCTCTGGTTCTCTCTCTCTTCACATCTCTCTTTGCCCTCGCAGGCTCTGGGTCTCTGTCTCTGCCTCGTGCCTCTATCTGGCCCCAAGTCTCTGCAACTCTTTGTCTCTGTCTCATCACTGTCTCTGCAACTCTCCATCCTCTCTCCTAACACTCATCCCACGGGTGAGACGACCGTTCTCCGCCACCGGTTGCCCAGGAGACGCCCAGGCCCGCCCACCGCCCGAGAGCACAAAGGAACGTCGTCGCGTCACGGACGTGAACATGGAGAGCCGCGCCGACTACACCTCCCAGAGAGCATCGGTCCGAGCCTCCCCATTGTGCGGCCCGGAGGCATCTAATAAGGCGCCCCCTCCTGGCAGGAGGTTGCCATGGAGACGCGGGAGGTAGAAGGGTTTACGGCATCCTGGCGAAGGTGGTGATTGGTGCAGCGCCCTGCTAATCTCTGACGGCCGGTAGAGAATTGAAGGAAACGTGATGAGAGGCATGCGCAGTCGGGAAGACGGCGCTTGTGGACGTTGACCCCCAAGAAGCTTGCGCGAGTCGACGGGGCAGGGGGGGCGGACGCCTGGATCCGGGGCGGAGAGCGCAGGAAGAGGCGTTCCGGGGCGCGACCTGATCGTTGCCACCACCGCTACCCCCGGGGACGGGTCGGGGGCGGGAACGGAGGCGAGGGTTGGGGAGGGACAAGGGGGCGCCCTACTGAGTGCGCGCAGCCTTCGGGGAAACGTAGTCTGGCCGGGGAGGGAAGGTCGGCGACTGCGCGTGCTCCGGGGCGCGGAGCGGCCCGCTGGGCGCGGAGGTGAGGGGCGGGGTCCTCGCAACCGGGAAAAGTCGGACGGGAACCGGGGCCGTGGCTCCGGACTCGGGGGTTCCGGCTATCCAGCGGGACCAGAAAGGAGGGTAGGGACCTGAGGATTCCCGGCAGGCGGGCCCGGCGAAGTCGCGCGGGTTCCGTCAGTCACCGCGCACTGCCACAGCAAAATGTTCTGCGAACCCAACCATTGCTCGCCAGGACCGGCCATCGCTCCCTAAAGCGGAAGTTGCCCTCCGAGCGTGCTGGGAAATGTAGTCCGAGGGTCTCCGCGGGGTCCTGGCGGCTTGTTGATGGCCTTCCGCGCAAGTTTTCAGGTTGACCTGGAACCTCGAGGTGCGAAGGTTTGACCCATGGAGGCTGGCGGCCCCCGAAATCGATTCCAGGAACGCGGGTGACTTCTGAGGGACCACCCCTTTAATAAACATTTCTTCACAAAGCCCGTGTGTTCCCCTAGCTGCATGAGCAGCAGCGCGGGCGGAGGTCATCCATTTGCATATGAGAAGACCGAGGCTCACAGAGGCACAGGGACACGTCAAGATCACAGAGCAAGTGGGCGAGAGCAGGATCTCAGACGTAGCTTGCAGGCTCCCCCGATCCAGTGTTCTTTGGGCCTTTGTAGACCCCATTAGAGCTCCTCCATCACCTCCCAGCCCCACCTGAATGAGGGAGCTGAGGCCTAAGGCCCCATGCAAGAAATGATGGGGCATTATGTGGAGCGATAAGTTGGGCTCAGAGGATGGAGTGAGGGTGCTACCTGGGGGCTGGTTCACACGTGGGATCTCACACAGGTGAAGGCAGGAACCAGGTGAAGGAAGTCTGCTTTGTGGGACTAGGCTGGGAGGGGTGATGGTGAAGCCAGATCTGAGGGAGACTGGGACAGTGGGCATCAAAGTGATGGGCTGGCAGTGGGCATGAGGGGGGACATCCAATAGTTGCCAATGCCCAGGAGGTGATTGGTGTAGGTGCCACCCGCCTTTCAGTGGGAGGGCTACAGGTCAGGTGTGAGTGGCACGTGTAGAACAAGGATAGGATTTAGGGGAAAGAGGAGGTGCTTTCTAGGCCTGAGAAACAGCTTCCACTTGGGGTAGAAGGCTACAAGGGACTTTTGTGGACACAGCTGGAGAGGACAACGAGGGTAGCTCCTGCGTCCAGGGGTGCCTGGCAAATGACGTCCTCTCTCTGCCTCAATTTCTTGATCTACCTTCCACATCCGGGAATCAAACAGTGCAGAATACAATAAAAGTAGCTGCCACTGTCTGTTCTTACCCAGCGGCCTCATCCCATTCCTCCCCCAGGGGCAGACACTGGCCTCAGACACCCCTCTGCACCCTCCCAATGAGGCCTGCTGCACTGAGGTCCCCGGGCCCCGCACCCCTGGAGAACAAAGGGCCCATCACGGTGAAGCTGGAGGACTCTAAGGAGGAGAGCGAGGCTGCTCCGTGGGACCCCAGCCCTGAGGCCGCGCGCCTTCGATTCCGGCATTTCCGCTACCAGCAGGTGGCGGGGCCCCATGAAGCCCTGGTCCAGCTGCGTGAGCTGTGCCACCAGTGGCTGCAGCCCGAGGCGCACTCCAAGGAGCAGATGCTGGAGCTGCTGGTGCTGGAACAGTTCCTGGGTGTGTTGCCCCCTGAGATCCAGGCCCATGTGCAGGGGCAGCAGCCCAGCAGCCCGGAGGAGGCTGTGGCCCT